TTATAATGTGACGGTTAGTCACACTACTCGTTGGTAAAAGAGTAGCCCAAGAGTTGGCGGTGGGTGGTGATGACTAGCTGCCTTCCCTCTAGTCTTTCACTGCTAAATTAGGGACGGCTAGCACAGATAGCCCTCATGTAGCTTTGCGCGAAATTCAAACAAACAATACTTTATACATAACAGTATTCTTTAGAGTTATTTGTTATATAAAATTATATATATATATTTTAATACATTAATAATACATATATAATACATTGTTTCATATGAGGCGTGGGTAGATACTCATTTAATCCTTAGAACTAACCATAATTGAGTTGGTGACTCTTTAGACAAAATGAAAGATTGACACACCTGTTTTGGGTGCGACCCGTCTATCTGTCTATTAAATTATTTATAAAGTTTAGCATTGGTGAATAATTTTATACAGTAATCTGTGTATGTGAAAGTCTTCTCGGTAAACATAATGCTGAAAAACTAGCATGATAAAAAAAGAACACTGCAGTAAGTTTAAATATATAGTCTTGTAATGTATGCATCAAATACTAATCAGTCTGATTCGTCTTTACTGCTTGAGTTGTAATTAGAACAAAGTTTGTCTGAGGGTAGTTACTGGATAACTGAAACCTAGCAAAATTATGAAATATATACAGAATAAGTAGATAATTATGTTTTTTTACGCTAGGTAGTATTGTACCCTCGCCTCTTTGTTATTCTGAAAACTACAACGTAGTTTTGACAGCACGGATGTCTCAGAAAATAATGGGCAGAACGTAGGGATCAAGCAGCAATCATTAGGCCTTTCAAACTTAAGTTTCAAACAATTACGTTACATTTATTACTTTCTTCTGTCTTTTATGCGGTTTAACATTTCGGTATATTTGTTTGATAATGTTCATTATAATTAATAAATTATACCATAAATCTGCAAGAGACCCTTGCGTTTCTCAATAATCAAATTTTCGAGCATCAAAAACAGCAAGTCCGTGAAACAAGATGTTGGACAAACGCCAGAAGATAAGGAGAAAATAGTCGAGGGGAAGAATTTAAATTGGAATAACTAAGGATATCAGTCTACTTTTTCAATTTCTTGCCATACAAGACTATTTGTAATAATGTGTGTTATAATCACCTCATTTAGCGCGCATTTTTGTGTTTCTTTAGGCCTACGGTGGGTTACGAGGTGCTGTGGCGTTTTCGTTGGTAATTATGTTGGATGAAAAGATCATTCCAAACAAGTCCCTTTTTGTGACAGCAACATTGTTTATTGTGCTCTTCACAGTGTTTATTCAGGTATGTGAGATTTGTTATCATGCGATCTTATAAAAAAAAAACTGTTCATAGTATATGGTTGCACTCCCGATGATTTATCCTTGTAAAGAAATGATTTTCTGTGACAAATGATATACAGCTAATACACCTGAAGTAACACATTCACAATGGCATAGTTAATACATTTTTTGTTTTGATAAAGCAGTCCATCCCTACATAGTTTACCTGATTATTATATTTTTCTTAACTGCGCCTTGCTGTGACTAGTTATGGGAATGTATACAGAGATCCTGAACCTATCCTAGTCCTAACTACATTTAAGATTTTAAAGAAGAAGAAAGAAAAAAATGTAAACTTTCAACGATATATATCTCTTGTAAGATGCATTAGTTTTTAAAAATGATGAAAAATGTATATTCAGTTATCTCGATATAATGGAAACAAAAAATAAAAACATTAGAAGCATTGGCAAATAGATAATATTTTCAGGAATATGAGATCCAGTAGGTGGCACTAGAACGGTAAACTGTAAAATACAACAAAACTTAAATATACCTTACATACAGAAAATACAAGATAAGAATCGGTATTTATGGAACTGATTGCGAGAACAAAACTGTGTGCTCATGATGAACGAGATAAAGTGAAATATTTGCTGGAAAATAAAAATAAATCTATGTTGTTGTTTTCTTACGTGTGCAACAGCCTACGAACAATTGTTGCGCGCATGCAGTGGCTGCATGATGTTAAACCAGATTTCCCTAGCTACCGGACCGAACAATGTCGGAAAATAAAGTGGGCTTCATCGACTACATCCAAGTAAAGAAACAACCCCCATGGAGGGAGGTAGAGAGGTGCAGGGTATATCTGATCCTGACCAAATAACAATCAGAGAAACCAAGTACAAGATAAGAAAACCACGAAATGAATTGTAAACTTTAAGGTTATCGTAATATATATATATAGATATATCTATCAATAAAGTGTTGTTTGTAGCTCAGTGCGTCACAACCAAAACTAAATATCAGTGATTCCTTATGGGTGGTGTTTTGTAAATATTACATATTTTACTCTGCACACGTTTCTATTTAAATTGATATAAAACAAAAACATTTCGATTTCATTTTAATAGGGTAGTACAATTAAACCGTTGGTAACACTTCTGAAAATCAGGAGGCAGGGTCAACAATGCTATAGTTTGTTTGAAGAAGTCAACGACAAGGTTAGTGTTAATTTTGTGAATGTTATTTAACAATGGTGATCTGATGGTTACGACACATTTTCACAACCAGGAAACTTCTACTGCTTGTAAATGATAAATTATTTTGTAATTTTCATCCACAGTTCAATCAAAAACATTGGTAGAGAGGAATTAATTAATTATTTAAATAAATGAAAGCGGTGTTTATTTGTTTTTAGTGCCTCACCCGGCTTTTGATAAAATATTATGTTCTAGTTCATGTATTCTGTTTGACTAATGTGAGAATACCAAGTTAACTTGTTCAAACATTATAATTTGTAGACTATGAGGACACCAAATTAACTTGTTCAAACATTATAATTTATGGACTATGAGGACACCAAATTAACTTGTTCAAACATTATAATTTGTAGACTATGAGGACACCAAATTAACTTGTTCAAACATTATAATTTATGAACTATGATGACACCAAATTAACTTGTTCAAACATTATAATTTATGGACTATGAGGACACCAAGTTAACTTGTTCAAACATTATAATTTGTAGACTATGAGGACACCAAATTAACTTGTTAAAACATTATAATTTGTGGACTATGAGGACACCAAATTAACTTGTTCAGACATTATAATTTATGGACTATGAGGACACCAAATTAACTTGTTCAAACATTATAATTTGTGGACAATATGATACCAAATTAACTTGTTCAAACATTATAATTTGTGGACTATGAGGACACCAAATTAACTTGTTCAAACATTATAATTTATGGACTATGAGAATACCAAGTTAACTTGTTCAAACATTATAATTTATGTACTATGAGAATACCAAGTTAACTG